GAATGCAGTGAGCTTTTCATATGTCGAACCCACAGTGACAACAAAGCTAATGTATAGTAAAACCTGTCGTGTGCACTGCAGCTGAAGCAAGGTTTTTGTAGTACCGTGCTCTACTTTATACTTCATGCATCCGCTGGTGTTATTAGTTTCTACGCTGGTCGGTGTGTGTGTGTGTGTGTGTGTGTGTGTGTAGGAGAGAGGTGATTTCAAGGTGACTATGAATTGCTCAAAAAGCAGACAGATGGTGCGTCTGTATTTAGAGAAGACCAGCAGGACAACAGTTACCTAACGCGCAAAACACTGATCTTTTCATGAGGGACAGTAACATGACGGATCCAGGTAGAAGCGTTCACCTGTTACTGATCCGCTCATCATGAAGGAGGATGGAAGTTTTTACATAAACGAGACGTAGATTGTAAAAAAAAAAAACACTCAATGTACTGAAGAATTTTTAGTCACACTTCACCTAATTTCACCCCCCCACACACCCCCCGAGACTCAAATATACGTCATCAGGGGACAGAGAGCAGGGAGGTTTGTTCAACTCACACTGTAGGAAAACAGCTGCTGTGACACATATTATAATCACATATTACATTATTGATATGTGTTCACTAGCTGCTTTTATTTAAAGGTGCGTAGCTAACTTCGATTCAGTTCAGGCCCCCTCCAGAGGGACATGAGATGTACAGTATCTGGGAAATGTGAGATGATTAATGGGAGAGGAAGTTCTGCTACATAAAATATTTGATTTATCTTTCATATTTGCATTTTGTACATGAAATATTCAATAATTTCACTTCTTTTGTGTCGTCTTAAAGTTATTAAATGAGACTGAATCTCTGCACATTAGACTTGGTCTATGGGTTACATCTTACAGGCGGGATCATACACTGATCATATCTCAGTGTTAGTATCAAGGTGCTTTTTTTCTCCATAGTTTATTTTGTTGACAGTCCGCTCGTCCTTTGTTGGAGGTTTTGGCTGCAGCCATTTGTGTGTGTGATTGCTTCCTCACCAGCAGCCAAGAGGGTTTTAAAGAGGCATTCATCCTGAGCCATGAGTTTGCCTGGGATTTTGCCCAGGAGTAATGTGACAACAGAGCAATCAAATTCTAATCCAAATAATTTCATTACTTATTTACCAATCTCTTGCCAATATGAAAAAGTAAAAACACAAAAATGCCTTTTTATAAAACACTGCCTCCACCATTAATCCTGTCCCTGATAACCCCTTTGAATACATTTCAATTCTGGAGTCACTGAATATTATATTATATTATATTCCTCCAACACCCATCCACTAGTTTTTATGTGCATTTTCAATTTGCACACGAAAAACAACCTCAGCCAAGTTTTAAAGCTTGGCTGAGGGTGTAAAAGTTGGTCTATGGATAAACACAAAATGAAAACAAACTTTGCTAATTAATCGTAATCTAAAAGACGCGTGTGACTTAAACACCATCAAGCTTTCACTGAAGAGAGGAAAAATGGCGGCAGGCTAACATTAGATCTGTGACCGTAACTTCAGATTGAACGGAAACGTATCTGAACTGCAACTGCAACTTCTTTTTTTGTCACAAGCCAGTTAGTAGATAAATGTAGTGCAGATTTCCCTTCCGAAATATCATGAAGTTTTAAGCAGCAGAAAATGTAATTAGTCAAGTGGAGAGTAAAAGTGCCTCAAAAAGTTGTACTAACAGTATTTGAGTAAAAGTACTGTGAGTTATTTGTAGGAACACCATATGTTACATCTTGTGCTCCAGAGTCAAATAAAGAAGTGTTGGGTCTGAGGGCTGAGATAAGACTCTGCAAACTACATCACACCCTGCTGGAGTTAGCCTTAAGCTACGCGTGGGCGTCATCCATTCCCATGATGTTTTATCCCTGACTGTCTGCACTCCTATGGCTATACTGTGACTTGTATAAGATAAGTCATCCTTCCATATCCGCATGCTGTTACTAAGTTGGATTGTCCTTAGAAATCAGAGTATAGGAACAAATGTTGTGAGTGCTTTGTAAAATACAGAGATTATGTCTCAAGTTCAGGTACCAGGCAGTGTGGATTATATATGTATATATTGGAAAAAATAATACTCTTAACCTCTCTTAACAACAGTGGGATCAGTGCGAACAAATAAAAACAAATCTACCAAAGCAAAGGGTGGATCAGAGTAGCATTAAATATTGTATTAAACTGAGCAGTAACATGACTTAACTTGGTAACACACACTGACATGAACACGCACCAACTCAGCTGTGTTCCCTCTGCTGCCATCATGGTGCGTGTCACAGTCCGTCACGGAGTGGCTACATGGCCCGGAGTGACGGGACGAGAGCCTCTCTGGTCTGATAACATGAAACCTCGTGGCGACGTATCATCAAGTGCAGAGCAAGCACCCTGTTGGTCTTTAATTTAAAGTGACAGGAAGGCATCGCTTAATTGTCCGTCTATTTCCAGGCCGATCGGTGCGGTGTGATGGCCCCCCTCGATACTTTTATTTATTTATTTTAAAGGACAGAAAACTAACCAGGCATTATCCTCGGGAAACGAGAACTTCGTGTGACAGATTTGTGGCTGTTGAATGAGTCATGACTCGCAACTCGTCTGACAAATTCACGGCTATAGGATGAGTTATGAGTCACGGTGCATTTGGCTCAAATTCGATACCTCTAAAATACACACTGTACGTGCACTGCATCTGGTCGTATGTGACGACTGTGCACGCAAGACTTCACATTACCTGAAAAAGATTTGCATTGCAACATCAGAATCGGTGCCGTGAAACAGAGAAGAGACAGATTTGTCACTGAGAAAGACTCTGAATCCCTAAAAGCTGCTCAGGAGGGGTGACGACCTCTGTCCTCCGTGTGTGGATGGGACCGGACAGAAAGAGCATTACACCGCAGGGGATCAATGAAGTATCACATTCTCATCGGTGCGGCATCGTGTTATATCAGATTTCTCTGGCGCTGTGGTGGTGAGCCGCAGAAAAACCCCTCTCAGCTCACCCCACATTAGCTCTGTGAGAGGAAATGTGACTCTCCAATCAACACTTCCCCTTGTCAAAATAATGAATACAAAAATCAACCCTTGATAACGCTGAAATTGCAGCACCGTTCAGATTCGGTTCCATGTTTAAAAATGAAGCCGGCTCGTGTCAGTAATGGGCCTTGAACACAGCAAACTGCCAACGTTAATGAGTGCTGCTTTTTCACTAACTATTATATTGAGTTGACAGGTGTTGACTGGAGTGTTGTTGATTCACTCGTAGTGCTGATGTGGCTCTGAGGCGCCTCTTCAAAACTACTTAAAAGTGTTAAATTAAGTCTGATGGCTGCCACTGTGGACGGTTAATGGATTGGAAGGATTCTTGAAGGCACTCCCGGTCCTCGTCGACCCCCTTTAACGCTCTCGGTAACATATGGAGATTTGCTCCCTGAACCAACTGCAGGGCAAATTGGCTTCAATGCCCAGGCGGCACACCTCGGAGGACCCTGCCCTTCTTAAGTGATTTACTCCCTTAAGCTTAGCTCTGCTGGTTCTGTAATTACAGAAAATTGAAACAGACCTACCAGTGGAGGAAACGCTGCTTCTGCTGCCGGTGTTGACGTGCCATGTGGCGTCCGTGTTAACACTACAGCTGCAGCAGCTCTGCACCCCACGTTACATGCCAATAAGAACATGCGTGTGGCAAGTGCAGCCCCGGAAGAAACTGAAAATCCAGTTACCTTTTGACTTTGAGCCTCTAGGTTAGCAATGGAAGCTACAGGCTGTTCATGAACACTAGGTTGTGTCTTCAAATGTCAAACCAACAGGCCGAAACCTAAAGCTGTTCAACTGCTACTGATGTAAAACTGAAACAAGCAGAATCCATCATCAAAATCCTCATCCGTTAGTTTCCTATCAATCAGAAAATCAATTAATCAAGTAATCATTTCGGATGCATTCATGATTCTGTGTCGGTGCGCTCTCAGAACATCCACACATTGATTACCAGTCCTGTTTGGTTTGTACTTGCTTGTTTGGTTGTTAATTTACTTCATTTTTAATTTGCATATTCATTGTTCTTCTCATCAGTTTCCTTCGTCAGCCATTCATTCATTCATTCATTCATTCACTTGCTTACTCACTCAATATCAGAGGGCGGAGGACACAGAATGACTCAGAATGAGTGAGTGAACAAGTTAATGAGCGAGTTAATGAAGACTGATTTAATGATCGGTAAATGAGTCAATGAGCAATGAAGCAGTGAACCAGTTAATCAAAAATGAGTGAGTGAGTGAGTGCTGATTCAGTCACTCACATGTTCACACAGTCATTTATTCATTTTGACCTAATTTTCTATGATTTACCCACATAAAAAAAGACAAGTGAGTGAGTGAATTTGCAAGTGAGAAAATTAATGACATGAAAAATAAAATGAATGAGTGACTTTACATTAAGAAAATGAGTCCTTGAGTAAACCAGTGAATCTATTAATAAAAGAGTGAGTGAATGAGTGAGTGAGCAAATTATTCCAAAAGACTGCTTTGATGTTAAGGCTAGTAGGTACAAGCAACAGTGAGTATAATGAGTGAGTGAATGAATGAATGAATGAATGAGTGAGTGACTTCACATTAAGAAAATTAGTCCTTGAGTAAACCAGTGAATCAATTAATATAAATGAGTGAATGAGTGACTGAGTGAGCAAATTATTATCTGAAAGACTGTTTTGATGTTAAGGCTAGTGAGAGCAACAATGAGTGAATGAGTGAGTGAATCACCAAGTAAATGAATGAGTGGCTTAACATAAATTGAAAGACTGCTTTGATGATAAGGCTAGTAAGAGCAGCAATGAGTGAGTGAGTGAATGAGTGAATGAATGAATGAATAAGTAAATGAATGAGGACTCAACATTAAGAAATTGAAATAAATGAATGAATGAATGAAGAAAGTTAGTGTTTTATTCAATAGGCTGCACACCCACTGACCACACCTGTCCTGCAGGTCTCACTCACCTCTTGCTCGTCGGCGCGCTCTTCTTGTCCCTCTTGTTCATCACCACAGGTACACAGCTCGTGAGCTCGGTCCAGTCCGCGTGCAAACCGCAGCTCCAGCCGGTGGAGAACCGGGAGAAGAGCCACGAATCGGCTCTCCCGGGCCGGTGGCAGGTGCATTTCCTCTGGCCGGGCATGCAGTCGCAGGGCTGCTCCAGCTGAATATTTTTGACCAGGTGCCGCCCAAACGTCGTCCCGCCGGTCTTCTGAATATGCAGGAACACCATCACATCATCTCCTCGGATGTTGAAGTCGACGTGTCTGTCCAGGTCCCGCTCCGTGAAGTTAAATCTGGACGTGATTTTGGAGGGAAGGTCCTCGTCCGCCTCCGGCTCCGTGTAAACTAACTCAAACCCCGACGAGTACCGCTGGAACAGCCCCTTCTCGCCACTTCGGAAGTAGCAGGTGTTGCTGTCCGCAGGGCACACGTACTGGTAGCCGATCATCAAGAAGAGCACCGCGGCGATGGGGATGAAGATGAGTCTGTTGAACTTCTCCTCCATGGTGGGGAGAAGAAGAAAAACAAAAACAAACAAACAAACAAACAAACAAAAAAAAACTGTAAATCACGCCGTCGGCACAAACAACGGTAACGTGATGTCCGAGTCCTTCTCCTCTCCCCCTGGTCTCATCCTGCACTTTCACTTCAGGTACACGGAGCTCCGGTTACTTCAAGTCCCGGGAGCAGGTGAGGAACATATCCTGCAGGACTGGCCTCGTCCCGCGCGAGAACAGGTCCACTTTTTTTTTTCTTTTTCTTTTTTTTTAACTTGAAGCTGCCACTAAACATTCAGTGATTTACTAATAGATTACGGCATCTTTCTTTTCCCCTTAATTATGTCACGACTAATGGCATAACTCGTGCAATAACACCTTACGAGGCGTCAGCGCGAGGCAGCACATCCCCTCACGAGGAGCGTTCGAGCTCGGGTGTCCTGCCAAAGCCAACTGCTGATCGGTATCTGAGCCAGGAGCCCGAGCGACAAGCAGAATAGAACTTACACAGCGACTTCCTGTCGAGGATTTCAAAATAAAACATTAAAAAAAAATCGTTTTTGCAATATTAAATGGAATAAACATCATTAGGGAAACGTGTAATTAGTGTTTGGACCTTACACATTGGTTCAGTTTTGTCTGAAAAAATAACCATTGGTACAGTCATGTGAATTCTTTCAAAATGATCAATATTCTCAAAATAAAAAAGTCAAGGTTTTCATGATAATTTAATGTAGTGGACTGTAGTCTGTTCGTCTGTTTTGTCTCAAGAAAACCCCCATTGTGTTAAATCTTTATATTCACTCATTATTAAACTCCTGTTTGACTCTATTGTATCAATTGATTTAAATGGTTGGACACAGAACCTTCATATCTGACCTCGACCGTGAATCTAAATTCCCTTTAGTCCCAGATCTGAAGCTCCATGCTACTTTCTAGCTAAAAAATCATTTCTCATTTCGTGTTACTCTGGTCAGCCTGCGCAAAATACCACATATCAGAATTTCAGAAATATATAGGCTAAAAGATTTAATCATGGAACATACTTTTTTATTGAATATAAAAAAATATAATACCAACTGCAACTCCAGTCCCCGTGTCAAATCGATTAGAGTAATGCAGCCCTATTTACTATACTTGGTAAGCTTGTTTACATCTGACCTGTTTTCATAGTTGAATTCGTCCCATTGAACTCAGGCTCGCTTTTATTTTGACGAGCAAGTGGCCGAGTGTCCGGTTTCATTCTGGGTGACTTGATTCTACATCTGCGCCAGTCATCTGTCCCGGCTGCCTGGCCGGTGACGCAACCGCATCTCTAATCACACATACACAGGCAATTTGAGTGGCCTAGAACAAGTGGTGGCGGAAAATCTCCAGAATGACAATGATATATGGAATATATAAGAATTTATAGCGGAAATGACGTAAATAACAGAGATATTAATGGATTTCTTTTTTTATTATTATTGATTATTTTGTATTATCTTTCTTTTCTCATTGATCATTTGCGCTTATTTCACAGTAACTTTAGAGAACCAAATTTAATTTTATGTTTATTCCATAGGGCATAGTTTTTTTTATTGCTTTAATGACCCTGTTAAATGGGCACAGGTCTGTTGTATTCAATAATCTGTGGAGCATCAATAGAGAGGTTAATGTGTTTATATCTTTAATGTTGTGTTTGTGAGGTTACTTCATGTTACAAGCATCTCTGCACAATGTGAGTTGAAAAATCTGACATCTGTGAAGTTCCCATGCAGGCAACAGGAAAGAGTTAAATCCCCAGGCGAGTGATTTCAGCACCATGGACAGATTCCAACATGTCAAGTCAATAATTGGCATCATGCGAGAGAGAAATGTGTGTGTGTGTGTGTGTGTGTGTGTGTGTGTGTGTGTGTGTGTGTGTGTGTGTGTGTGTGTGTGTGTGTGTGTGCCACTTCGTCATCACCCTACATAGGTTTTCCTCTTCTCCTGGACACCAACAGACTTTAAACATGTGATGCAGCACAGTTGAATTTGCAGCGCTGTATGGACACTGGGAGCCAGAACTAAAGTATCAGTAATGGACTTCCTTTAAGCCTGCAGTGATCAAAAGCTTTTGTTATTTTGCCTAAGATGCCCTCCATCAAGGGATTTAACCAGGATGCACTTTGGTATGTATTCTATTCAATCCTCTTTCAGCACTGAATGCGCTCTGCCTTCTTGCTCTGACATTGACTTAATCTGTATGGGAGTTTAGTCTGTGGCTCACCTCTCTCTGTGTCTGAGAGGAGTCACCAACCCTCCTCCTAAGAGAGGGTGGAGGCATGAAAGGAATCTGTTATGGAAAGTGTCAGGATAAGAAATATCTAATTTTCTAAAGGTCACACAGAAGTGGACGTTTAGATTTTTTGGCTCGGTGATGGTAACATCCTGTGTCAGCGTGCTCTTTACCTGTGAGGCCCCTCGCAGATACAACATGATACAGTCCTCATTTCACAAAAAAAGAAACCCCTTTTCTACAAATGGCATACTGATTAAAATCTGAGCAGAATCCCTGATGGGAACGAATCAGCATTAATGTTTTGTGCACTGAAGCGAGACTCGTGTTGTTCTGGCTGTGCAGCTGGGATATTTATGAGGTCCCTGACGCTCACTACACAAGCCTTATGAGAAATAACCTCGGGAAGTGCTGATTCAGCCGGCTGCTGCAATGCACAGACCTCCCAATAATGGAACTGAAGCTTCCTGGAAATTATGATTGGATTGATTTGGGATTTCTGTTTATCTGGTTTTGTTTTCGTTTTCAGCGAGGCTGGTTTGATGCAGCCACGGGTGTGTATGTATTTTTGCATTTATTGGAATGAGTATTGATTTTAATATGAATGATTGAGAGGTGTTCAGACTTTCCAGTTCATTTTTCGACTCTTGAAGCCGGTGAGCTGAGAGTTTCTGGGCATTTCTAGCAAATGAGCACCCTGAGACGCTATTAAGGAAAGCAAATGAAATGTAAAACTGCTGCACAAGAAAAATTGAGAACATTTTAAGAAAAAAGAAGAGAGCACTGTGGGCTATCAACGAGTCTAGTTCTGCTGTTGCAGATTCATTTTGTAGTAGAGTGTGAAAAATGATGCAAACCTTAACAGCCTCATAGTATCAAGAAATATCTGTCTCTTGCTGCTAGTTCTGCTGGAGATAGAAAATAATACACGTGAGAATAAGACAAATACAAAGTGTGGAAGATAATAAAAATGATTAATTTTAATAAGCACACTAAATGCTTGCCAAAAGTAATGCAATGAATGAGACATAAAAAAGACCCCAGAGGTCGTTGTTCAAGCAGTAAGAAACAGCTCAGTGTAAATACTTCAACACCAGCAATGACAAAAGTTTCTACAACGACCCATACTTGCGTTCAAACAGCAACCTGCAGTTCCTCTAATGACCACTAGAGTCTTTCTCCAACAGTGAGTCAATCCCCATAGACTCCCATGTTAAAGTGTCCAACTTTACAGCAGAAATAAACATGTTTACAGCCTGGTACAAAAGGCAGTTTTGGTTTCTAGAGCCAATTTCCTCCTTCATGACACCTGTTTATATAACTCACCTGTTTACATTTTATTAAGGACTAAAGTTATGCATAATTGAGGGCGTGGCCACTTTGAGTGACATGTGGGTGAGCGTACATTTGTACAAGTGTCAGCTCCACACACGCCCTTCCTCTTTGTCCATTTTTGGATTATCTGTGAGTTAGGGGCAAAGTCAAGTGCTGCCAAGATGGCGACGGTGGAGCAGCTCACACTGAACTACAAAACCGCTCTCCAGAAACCTGTGTGTGACGTTACAGAGGCGATGTCGCCATCTTTATATACAGTCTATAGTTAGGTTTTATTGTTAGACCTCTAGCAGCCGTAGTGATTGTGGAAGTCAGGTGATGTAGTGTGAAGAGTGACCACATTGGGAGGATGGGATAGGTCAGAGTCATCACTCTTTCTTTTAACCACATTCCTCAACCTTAACTGCATGTTTACGATTGTAACCATGACAACAAACCTCCTCTGACCTTTTAACCCAAACCGTCTTTTCTCAGGTGAAGGCTGCGTGTACAGAAAGAAGCCTGAATTGTGCAGATGTGTTCAATAGGCTGTCACCATGGAAAATGTACAGATGGCGGTGCTGTCATGACGACAGCTGCTCCTTCGTCCTCTCCTGCCTCCAGCTCCTCCGTGTGCTAACCATCTCCTATCGTGTCAGACACCTATCATGTCTCACCTGTGTGCTGGCTGCTGTCACCAATCACCTGATCGTCACCCGACTCCTCAGCTGCTGCTCATCACCTCATTAGCTCCCGTGTACATACTTGGCAGCTTACCGGCTGTTGTTTATCAGGTATCGCTGCAGTTTCCCGTCTAATTCTCTTCACGTGTTCTAACTACCTTCTGTCTCCAATGATTTGATGCTTGCTTCTGGGTTTGTTTGTTGTGCTGACTGGCAACCTGTTGCTGATTATAAGCCAGGAGTCTGCTCATTGGTCCCAGTTGCTGCATAGGTGCTGAAAATATACAAACACTCGAGTCACATTGTTTTACTATTTAGATGGAAAAAAGGACAAATCTAACAAAAGTACTTATTTTTAACTTCTCTGCTCTTTCCTCTTGGCAGAAATTTTTACTTTCTTGACCTTTTATCTAATAATTGCCCCAGTTGTTTCATTAGCTGTTACATGTGCTGGAAATACTGAAAAAACAAACAAACAAACAAAAGAAACAGTCAAAGAATGCCACAATAATGTTTTGCATCAAAAGACAAATGTTGCAAACACCAGATTAGCTCACTGGATATTTAGTTTTTTATACATCTAACAGGTAGAAAACCATTTGGATTTCTTAAATATTGGCACTAATCAAACTTTAAATGTTTAAAAGTCCAAATTTGATCCAGTAGTTTTTAAAATATATAATGAAAAAGAACATATTTTAACAAGACCAAGAGCCTGGAGCCATGCTAGCAGCTCCATGAGGCTGTACTCACAGCTAAATGCTAACATCAGTATGCTAACGTG